GGAAAGACTAGGGATAACACAGGAAAAGAAAAAAGATTACTAGAACTTGCAAACAAATAAGAGAGGAATGCAGGAAAATTATTTAATAGCAAGCTTTTAATGAAACACTTAATAAACCCCAAAGCAACCCAAACCCCTCAACCTTGCTCTAATTCAGCAAAAGACACTTAAAATATGCAGTAGTTCCCTTATGACATTTCTAAAATCTAGAATGCTTGTATACATGTTCTCAAATACTTTCTTGAATCAACCCTGTTTAATTTCTCTTAAGATCTATATTCATGAAAAGAAAACAATTTTTAGCAAATCTAGTAATGAAAGAACTCATACTATAAAACAAAGACTTTTCCTAAAAATTAGGAAATTGAAGTGAAACATTTTCAACTTCCCTTTCATCAACAAATGGAAGCACTTGAATAACCATCTGTGAGAAATACTTGTCATCTCTTCATTTTATAATCAGGGAAAGCATTCAAAACCACCAGCAAAGCATTAATATTTGCTTGCAAAGTTTGCATACACTTTACACCCTGAATGATGCTGCAAATACTAAAAACCCAAAAAAGTTTTTATTTTAGTTTGCCCATGAGTATCTGTAGTTCATGTACCAGTTGCTTACAGTGTTAAAATACTGGAGTATGCTGCACCCCTCAAAGCTTCTCTTTAAAGGTTAGGAATGAAAGTTTAAGTATTTGAAACATTCAGCTATAAGCTTACTCTGAATTTACACCTCATATTCAAAATACAATTCGGCATCCACAGCATAGGGAAAAAAATATGCTATCCATTATAAATATAGAAACTTCAGCACATAGCTAATCCAAAATATTGACATTCTTCATAACAAAAGCTGTGTTAACACCATCATTTTGCAAAAAAAACCTTGACTAACATTTTCAACATTTTAAAAAGGGCTAGTGTCAAATGTGGGAGCAGAGTCTATAATAAATTATACTATGCTGCTGGAAAATTTCATGCACAAGCTGGAAACATATATCAACTGGAAAAATGCAATAGGTATTAAGATTCTTTTCAATAAAACTCAGTCCTGGTGCTTCATATATTAACATTTGCAAATTCAGAATCTTAAGTGACCACTTCTCCTAACATCAATAGCTTCCAAACAACACTGATGCAAAGAATATGATTTAATATTATGTTTAATTACCTTTGTTAGTGAAGATATTCTTTCCACATTCAAGAAGACAGCTGTCACATGGGGCAATTTTTTAATCTTTTCTAAAAGATGGATAATGATTGCAAAATAACAGTGTTAAATGTCAATTCTCTTTTTAAAATGCCCAGACTATAAACCATTTTGCACTGAGCAGAATGCTCATAAAACATCAAATGGCACCATGTTCTTTGTTCATAGAGCAGCTGTAATTGCTAATTTAGTACTGTGCCAAGAACAGCATCAGTTTCACTTATGTCAATCACATAAAGTTACAGACTAAGTTGCCTCACACATTTTCAGTGACCAGGGGTTATGTCTATTCTGCATTGCTTTTGTAACTTGAAAATTCTTTCAAGTCTTCCTGCAAACCTGCATGATGGATAAACAAAATTCTCCCTCTCTTCAGCTTTCACACCTATCCTTGAACAGTTTGCCTGTAAAAGTCTTCCATTTAGAGTGACGCAGTGCTGAAAGATCTCATTCCTTACCTGTCAAAACCTGAAAGTTTCCTTTGCCAAAAACAAACTTCTTGTTGGGATTTTTTGTAGGAATAATTATTTTATCTAGAACTGTCCAGTTCTGAAGAGTATCTACAAGAGCAACGGCTTCGGCAATCTGTAATTCAGCTTCAGGAACATAAAAATAACAGAAAAAAGAAATAAATATTACAATGTACCATCATAACTCTGCTCAGATCTCCAATAACTACAGTACATGCATGAACATGGAAAGACTAAGCTACACTGAAATTCTTTTAACTTCTAGCACAAGGATCAAAGTGTCTTAACTCTAATCAGAGTAATTGAACAGTTTGATGCAATTTTATCACAGAAAGCATCTTTCTGACAGTATAAATTATTTCTGTGGTTGTTGGCTTAGGAGAATTTTTAACTGTATTGTCAGGAAAGAAATCACCAGGCTTTTTTCCTCAACAAGTGAAATTAATAACTAGCTGGAAAATCTGTTATTTCAGATAAGCACAAAGGCACACAATTAACACTTTGGCGTTTTGCAGCAATAATTTGGGAATGAATAATATGGCATATCCACCTGCTAATTTCACAGCCACTTATTCATAAAGGACCTAAACTGTTTTGGGACCTGCTAAAACCAGCAGATTTGAATCCCGTATTCTGGTTCATCAACTACTTTTGAGTTTTTAACATCTACACTGCAAAGCAATAATTTTTGAGGACTTTGTGAAATTACAAAGACTACACAGGAATATCAGATCAGCAAGTCTAGTCCTGATATGCCAAAATTTTCCTCTTCAAAACAAATTTGTAAAGTTTCTCTAGACAGTAAAACATTATTTATATACTAATTAGGTTACATTGTATATACTAAATAGGTTACATTGGTCCAAAAGGTAACATATTTTTAAAGATAATAATAATTCACTTTTTCCTCATTATTTTCCTCATGTTTTTTTTTAAATACACAGATTTCCTATTGTATCTGTGGTGCTTCAAAAATCATTCCAAAACATTTGTTCAGACTTCAGGCTCTTCATCTGGAGGGCCTAAATAAATGGAGAGGGATCACTGCTATTTTTCTGTATGTTTGGATAGAAAAATGCCTTCATATTTTAACTACTTTTCAGCTGTAAAATTATGTCACTTACATAAATTCTGGAAAGGTTAAAAACTTTATTCTGCAATGGACAATTTGTTAGAATTAGCAGCACTAATAAAACTAAACAAGATTTAGGTTCATCACATAATAAACTAAAGTAAGTATATACAAACTGTCTCTTGCCACCCAGAAGAATATGGACAGGCTCAAGAAGTGGACCCGTGAAAAACTAGCGAGGCTCAACGAGTGCAAGGTCCTGCATCTGGATCAGGACCAGGATATTGATACAGGCTGGGGGATGGACAGATCACAGCAGCCCTGCCGAGAAGGACTTGGGGGCGTTGGTGGACAAAAAGCTGGACATGACCCAGCACTCTGTGCTTGCAGCCCAGTGAGACAAACATGTCCTGGGCTGCATCCGAGGCAAAGCAGGGCAAGGGAGGGCATTCTGCCGCTCTGCTCTGCTCTGGTGTGACCCCACCTGCAGTGCTGCATCCAGCTCTAGGGTCCCCAGCACAAGGTAGTCATGCACCTGTTGGAGCAGGTCCAGAGGAGTGCTAGAGATGACCAGACAGGTGGAACCTCTCCTATGAGAAAAGGCTGGGAGAGTTGATGTTGTCCAGCTTGGAGAAGGCACCTGGGAAGGCCTTTTTACAGCCTTTTAGTATGAAAAAGGGGTTTATAAGAAAGATGGGGACAGAGGTTTTAGCAGGATCTGGTGCAATAAAACAGGGCAGTGGTTTTAAACCAAGAGATTTGATTTAAATTTGATAAAAAGAAGTTTTTTACAATGAGAGTGGTGAAACACCGGGACAGATTGCCCAGAGAGGTGGTGGTCCTGTAAACATTCCCTGTGAACATTCAAGGCCACATTAGACAGGGCTCTGAACAACCTGGTCCAGTGAAAGATGTCATTGCAGGGGGGTCAGACTAGATGACCTTCAAAGGTTCCCTCCAAGCCAAACCATTCTATGATTCTATACATAAAAAAGTAACTTAGAAGATGCTTTAATCCTTTACATTGCAACCTTCTAATTAGAGAAGTGTTCAAAGAGAAGCATCAAGTTCATAAGGTATCTTAATTGGGTATGATTCATGCTTATACATGAGCTAGTTACGATTTCTGAGAGAAACCTAATAACAGTCCTAAAAAAAGGTCCTTACAGAAGAATTATTGGTGTATCACTAAGTAGCTGCATAAAGCACTTAAGTCCCCAAGAGGATTTATACAGGCCTTCATCTTCACTGCACTGTCTTCTCTGGACAGGAGGGTATTGCTGCTCTCCAGCCAATTTCTGGGCAACCCTAAGGCCAAAGGACTCCAGCCCACCTGGGCAGGCAGCAGGGCTGAGGGCAATTAACATTGTGCTAATAAGGGCGACACCGGACTGCTTCCCTGACCAACCGGCACGGAGGCGTTCTGCTGTCCAAAATACAGTCAGCGTGGTTTGCAAGTCAAAGCACAGACCTGCCAGCACTCACTAACAACTCCTTATGATTAAAAAGTTGTCAAAGAAGGAACGAGGGACCGAGACCTCCCATCCAAGCCTGTCCTTTGCAAGCCGCACGTCGCGGTTTCACCGCTGTATAGCGGGTCCTCTTTACACCAGCGACACAGCCGCAGAATCAACGGGGTTGGAAAAGACCTGAGATCATCGAGTCCAGTCTGTGACCGAACATCACCATGTCGATAGCCCATGGCACCCAGTGCTACTACGTCTTTTCTTGCACACGTCCAGGAACAGTGACTCCACCACGTCCCAGGGCAGTCCATTCCGAACCCCCTGGATGTACAGCTCCCAGCGGCCCGCCCCCCGCAGCCCCGCACCCGTGGTGAGCGGCGACTTCTGCGGGCCCCACTTGACCGCGGGGTGCACGACGGCAACGCGCTGAGCGCCGGGCCCTGGGGCCAGCGGAGACGGGCCCAGCAGCTCCTCCAGGGCCGCCTCATCCTCCTCCTCCTCCTCTTCTTCTTCTTCTTCATCCCCGCCGGCGCCCGCCGCCCCGTTCCAGGGCGCTCCGCCGCCCGTGCCCGGCGGGCGCAGTGAGGCCCGGAGCGGGGCGGCGGCGCTGAGCGGGCGGACGGGCAGCGGGC